CCCCCCCCCCCCCCCACAAAACAACCACACACACACAAATAAAGGAAGAGTAAGAGTGAGAGAGTATAGATTATTTCACAGTATCAATTTCAAATTTGGTCTCAACAAGCAGGTTAGTAGAATTCATTACAGTTTATAAAACTGAAAAGCAAGCATCGGACAGTCCCTGATGTAACAATTGAACAGAGATCATTCAGGAAGCCACTTCACAGCCATAATCAGCATCCTATGAGGCATGAGCTTATGGCAGAAAAGCGGCCAGAGAATGCTATGTGCGTGACACATAATTTATTAATATGCCTACGTCATTATATGAAAAACACAGCATGATGAAAATGCTTGAGATTTGTACCGTAAATGTTAACCACAAAACAAGGTCTGAACCAAATTATAAGTAAACGACCGATGTAAAAATAGTAAAAATAATTAGAAATAGATCTGAATAAACTGCGTACTTTTACGTCAATTCAATTAATGCGAAGTGACAGCCAGATAAAATTAGGGTTTTACAAATGAATTCTTATTGTTACCTTATGATCGTAATCGGAGGCGAAGGCAGGCTGGAGAAGCAGGAGTATGCGGAAGAATGCGATGAGAGAGAAGGATGATCGGACGGTAGACCACATCGCGGTGGAGAATCTCCGGCGAGAATTTCAATCTACCGGTACAGACAGAGTCTGGTCGTTTTTTATATAAAGTGCTGCATTTTTGGATTTGGTCGAGATCGAGAGTTGAACCAGATTTGCCAAAAGAATAATGCCGTAGTCGTAAGTAATTTATTACATGAAATAAAAAAACTACATCGTTAATATTTCAAATAATAAATCGTCACATGTATGTCATAGTGACGACAAATTGCCTCGTTTCGATGGGTTGATGGGGCGGGACGGAGCGGGGCGTGCTGCCCCATCTTGGCCGCCCAGTGAAAAAAAATTATATATATATTACATAAATAATTTACATTACAGCTGAACCAGACCGATTGCCCATTTCCCCAATCCCCACACTTGCCCTAATATTTTCTTTTCCAATTTCCTCGTTTGACTCGACCTATTCACAAAACGGCAAAGCCCCCTTCCAGCAATCCAGCAGCTAGATTGAGACCATCTATTACCTCTATCACGGCCAATACGTTACTAGTAGCACCGCCACCAACGTCATCTCTCCGGTTAGCTCTCTTGTGCCTGTAAGGATTAACAAGTACTTTTTATTTTATTTATGTGCTTTTAAAAGTTTCCAACTTGATATTGATTGTCAAGAGGAAGCTAGAGGATAGGGGTCATTTTTACGTTTGAAGTTTTAGTGGGGATTCAATTGTTCGTGGACCAATCCTAAAAGATGTTCACGTTTTGGATTCTTTTACGATATTGTTGTGTTAAATGTTGATGTAGTTTTGTTAATCTGAATTATCAATTACGAAAGACGGAGAAACAGGAAAATAAAAAGCAAAAGTAAGAAAACTTTTTCTATTCTAAGTTGGCTTTAGCTATGTAAGGTTCGTTGTTGTCAAACTGTTTCTGCTTTGGATTACGAGACACTAAGCTAGTTGACCCAAGTTGACTTCTCTCTTATGGACTTGGATTTATTGGTGACCACCTCATAAATATTTGCTGACATTCTGCATATTAACAAGTATTTATGTTATAGTTTGTGAATCTGATTACCTAATAACTTAGGACTTTGTTTCTTTTATTACTATTTTTATTTACATCTGGTTAAGTGAATCTTTACTGTTAAAACATAACTCTTCTATAATCGATTGTTGTGGAATGTAATCTTCCTGTTTGTTTTAAGCAGCGTTTTAATATAAAAGTATTGGTATCCGAGTTTAGCCTATAGCTCTCTCTTGGTATCACATATAAGCAATTTACTTGTACAGAAGCCCCTGGCATGCACAAAGGCGAAAGCATTTTGGATGTTTCATTCCTATTGTTGTCAATTGGAAAGTAACTTTTTGAAAGGAAGTATGAGAAATATGATCAAATAGCAAATTATTAATTTTCTTGTAAGGTTCCTTTGGCATGAGTCCTGGCCTTGAAAGGTATTGGAAATAACATTCTTAACAATCGTTTGTTATTTGCACAGATGTCTAGCCCAAGTAGCGCTGGAAGTATTGGATTGGGACCAATACGTGAGGAAAATAGCACGACCAATGTACCGAAGAGCAATGTCCCGCAAGAAGATCCAGTTGAACTGTTACCAAATGCGGATGAAAGGACAATAAACCTAAGTGACGAGAAGCGTGATATTGGAGAAATATCATTTGGAAAGAAGAAATTGACTTCAACTGTGTGGGAGCACTACAAAAGACAGAAAATTAGTGAGAAATTGAAGGCTATATGCAATCATTGCAAGAAACAGTTAGGGGGTGAAACAAAAAATGGTACAAAGCATTTGAATGATCATTTGAAGAGATGTGTACTCCGTTATAAGGATAATACTCGCCAAGCAACATTAAATTTCAAAAAGGATGCCACAAGTGGCAAGGTCACAATGGGTATTTGCTCTTTCGATCTAGATAAGTGTAGATATAGTCTTTCGAAAATGGTGATTTTGCATGAGTATCCTTTGTCTATAGTTCATCACATTGGATTTCGAGAGTTCTTGCACGACCTACAACCATTGTTTAAGGTTCTTTCTCACAACACTTTGAAGAGC